CCGAAAAGAAGAAGAAAAGATTTGTCCGGCTATATTTTTCAAAAATAAAAATGAAATCCAGCAGTAAAATAAATAATCTTCATGTTCTCTCTCATTTTTCAGCACTAAACAGTGAATCAAAGCATGAAGTTATTGACCCCCCCCCCCTTCCACGCTCAGGAAGCTTATGGAATAACTCTCCGAGACATCTACCTGAATTTTTGGGCACGCCTTCATCTTCTCCTCCTGTGGGATGGTGTTGGTCACCACCACGGCCTCGAATGGGGCGCTGTTGATGCGAGAGATGGCCGGGCCAGAGAATATACCATGTGTGAGGATGGCATAGACCTTGGTGGCGCCGGCGTCGATCAGCCTGACGGTACGGATACAAACACGGAGCGGTCAGCTTTTTAAGAGGCGTTTAAATCTGGGGCTAATGATTTTTTTAAAAAAGGGAGCCAACTTGTCGGCGGCGTGGCAGATGGTGCCGCAGGTGTCGGCCATGTCATCCACCATGATGGCCACTCGGTCCTTGACGTCCCCGACCAGAACCATGCGGTCTACTTCGTTGGCCTTCTTCCTCTCTTTGTGGATGAGGGCAAAGTCCACGTTCAGGCGGTCGGCGATGGATGTCACGCTGTGGCGACAAACAAACAAACACCAGACAGACGTGCAGAGAGGTTTTTAATTGCATCAGCTGCGATTGAGCTGCCAGTAGGACGCCGTCTCCAGTTTATCTAACATACAGCTGCCCTTTGACCCCGTGTATCTTATCGACTCCTCTTACCGCTTGGCTCCGCCAGCATCTGGAGACACGATGATGCAGTCCTTCCATTCAGGAATGTTTTCTTTAACCCACTGCAGGACGGCCGGCTCAGCGTACAGGTTATCCACCGCAATGTCAAAAAATCCCTGCAGAATGGATTCAAATTTAAATAAAAGAAAAAGAGACAAGTTCAGCCTTATGGGAATCCCCCTAAAGCAAATGTTTCTCAATCTGGTCTCCTTATATCTACATTCAACATCTTGATCATCAACAGAGATGATTTAATTCAAAATAAAGCATTTTTAAAGGTAATTTAGCAGCTCTTCAAAACAGGAAGCACATGACAACATAATATAGCGGATAACGACTAGAAGATCCCATCTACAACCTGATTGGATGTTTAACCACGACAGCCAGACAAATATGAGCAATGAAACTTCAAGGTGGAAGATCTTCATCTTTACTAGGACTTTCAACATTAAAGAACAGTTCTGCATAAACCAAAATGTCTGCATTACACATTAAAAGGATAATTAATTAGGGCTGAAACGGTTAATTAATCGATTACTGGAAAAAAAAAGTAAACAATTTAGTAATTGGTTATTCACAACTGGGGTATACTTTAAACTTGCCTACAGCTGACAACAGTTTTAGTTTCACCTGCTTTAAATAGTGTTATTATCTTCTTTAAGAAACCTTTTGCTATCTGATTATTAATCAATTAATCAAAAACGTAATAAATAGTTTATTTGTTCAACAAAATAATCATTAGTTACAGCCTTATAAATATTTTCTTTATCCATTTACTTCATAATTAGACTCATGTAGCTGCACAGGATTTATTAATTAATTTTATATATCAACTTAAGCTATTAAGGTTGGTGGGCGGGGCTAGCATCAATATAGATAATATGATTGGTTGAAGTCTGACTGCTGTCAAAAAATTCTTTGGAATAATCCTGTGACGTTAATGCATAAGAAATTAAACTAATGTATAATATTCAATTATTCATCCAATCATGCCCTGCTGTTGCCTTAGTAACATTAGTTAAAGGAATAGTACACCCAAAACATGATTAGCCTTCATTTTCTACTCACCCCCATGCTGAACAACACTCTGGAGTACTTTTTTGATAT